GGAACTGGCTTTTGGGCTGGGATTATGGCTGGAAATAAGGAACCAACTTCAGCCTCATTTCCTTTCAAGGCTGCCATGCAATGATAGGTGCAGTTAGGTGTGCAAAATATGGGTCACAAAATAATCCCCAGAGATTTAAAATAGGAATCCACAAGCCTTCAGAATCCTGCTGTGGTCTTTCCCAAGTCTGCCACAGCAAATTTGCTCTACGGTGTTTCCATCATCAAAAAATGAGAGAAAACTAAGAAGAGCTGACATTTCCTGAGGGCTGCCTTAAGTCTAACGAGAAGGCGCTTGAGTTTAAGAATGCTGAGAACCACTGGATTAGACGAAGATCAACACCCTGCAGAAATAGTTTTGCGGGGCGGGAATACCACGTATTTCCAGCCTCCATTTCCAAGCTGACAGTGTTCTTCTGTACTTAGACTAAGTAACAAAGATGAGCTCATTAAATAGCACACCTGAGCTAGTTGCAGGGGCCTGGAAAACATTCTTAAGTAACATGCTAAAATGGGCCTGATTCTCCATCATTTTGTGTGCTCGGAAGCTATTTCCACCTGCATGAAAGGCCACTAATGGAGAACTATAAACTTGTGTGCGACAGTGTGGTTTACAACCATGTTGCAAAGAGGCAAACTGCCTGCTTGGGGGTTTTGATTACAATGACTTCCCCAAGCCATTAAAGCCACACTTAGATTTTTCAAACAGTCCCATTCTGTGGTGTTATTTAAGAGTGAGCTTTCTGTGCTGGGAGATCACTGAGTCAGATAAGCTACGCATTCAAAACAACAGGAACAAAGATCCACTCCAGAACGAGCTCTTCCCTGTTCTCTCTGGGCCTAAGTCTCTGAGTAGCTGAGTCTACAGGCTAAGTGCAGAGTCCCTGCAAACCCTGTTGGCCTAAGCTGGGAGCCACACACTTTGTGGAGCACAGAACAGGCTGCTCTGCAAAGGCAGTGCCGACCCAGGCAACATCAGCGCTCCCTTGCATTCCCTCTGGTTTTGGGCTAAATAATGCATTTGTCCCTTTTCCTGAGAGGACCCTCCAAGACAGCTAAACCCTAAAGACCTTCCCCACACTAGAGCAGGGGGACATCCCTTCTCAGTGCCTTCCCTTCTCAGTGCCTTCCCCACGCTGGAGCGGGGGGACATCAATTTCTTTGGACCCAACCCCAATAGTTCTGCCATTCATCATCAATCAGCACCAGAGTGGGAAATGCCTGGTTCTTAGGAGCCAGATTACATTGCTCCCCATTCCAGATCACACACATCCCCCTGCTCCTAGACCATGCGCACACACCCCGATTTTAAATCATACACACACACCCCGATCCTAGATCACACATACACATACTCCCAATTCTAGATCACACACACACACTCATTCCTAGATGACACACACTGATCCTAGATCACACACACAAACACATACACGATCCTAGATCGCACACACACTAACACATGCACATGCATGCAGCCAATCCTAGATCACACATGCACACACTGATCCTAGTTAACACACACAGACATACACAAATACACATACATGATCCTAGATCACAAACACACCTGATCCTAGATCTCACACAAACAGCCCCCATCCCAGATCTGGAAGCAACCCCTGCCCCCTGAACCTCTTGTGTAGGTGGTGCAGGGCCCCACAGCCCTGTGTCAGTAGCCAGTTGGGACTGGAACATGGTCGTTGCCTGAAAATCAACTTTACCACCCACCTGTAATGTATGGCTCACAGGGTACAAAGTGGGCAGTGCAGGTGCCTGAGGGGAAGGGCTTCATCATTAACAGGGATGGGGCATGACTGATGCAGTTCAGGGGAAGTAGCTGACCCCTAAGACAAACAGCAAAAGAGATGTGTCACTTGCGCTGGTTTCCGAGGAGAAGCAAAGGGCGATGAAGAACACCACAGCAAACCTGTGGAAACTGTCCCGATTTTTTCCCCTGTTGTGAAAATGCCACCACTGAAGTGTTTTCCTGCCAAAAGATCAAGCCCTCTTTTCCAGAGTGCACCCACCTTGCTGAAGTGATGAAGCACCCTCGTTGCTTTACTCCTTTTTTTCAATGAAAGAGGGATTTTAAAAATAATTCAAAAACTTTGAATTGTAGAAAGCACCCCCCTATCCTCCCCCTCCTCTTGCAAACATCTGGGACCTGAAAATGAAACGTCTTGTGCTCCAGTAATGGTTGTTTTCTCTTATAAGGTGGGGTGGCCACCCACCTTGAATAAATGCTTGTAGAAAGGGTGTGCCTCTGTGTAGCCCAAACCAGCAGTGTCGGGGTTTGGTTTGGTTAGTGTTTTGGTTACACCTACACACAGAACAGAATGCAACCCATACAGGGATCATCCGCTGCCTCAGTCTTTCCACAGCCTACCAACCTTCTTTAGATTCCTAGGGGAGCATCCACCTGTGCATTAATGCACCTTTTCTAATGCCTGTTAAATTTAGTACCTCCAATGTGAGGTACTAATCTAATGCTCAGTAGGCTGCGCTAATGCATAGTAACACATTTGCTTGGTTTTTTAGTGATGCTTAATGTACAGTAGACTATTCTACTGTGCAATAGCATAACGTCACAGTTTTTTACCTGGCACTTTAATGCACAGTAAAACAATCTACTGTGCACTAAAGCGCGTATGTAGATGTGCCCCTAGTGAGCTTCTTCAGACAGGTGCAACATCAGAAGGGTCTTCATCCGTGCACCTCCAGAGAGATTAAGTTCCCCAATTAAGGGCTGCAAAAACAAGCCCCCTGGGATGGCAGCAGAATTTTGCCTGAGTAAAGACAGCATGAGGCACTGGCCGCACAAGAGCAAGACATCAGGGCTTGATTCCTCCCAGCAACCTTGAGGTGCAGCAGCTACTAAATCTATCAACTGGATGAGGAGGAGACAGGGAAGAATATTGCACTGAATGTCATGTGTCATCAATGGATGCTTTGTCAAACCAGGGTTATCATAGTCCCAGGGAAGTAGCAGGACCTGCAAGTCTAACACCAGTCTTTACAGCCGTGAGAGAAAATGCACCTCCAGTCAATAGAACAGCTGCAATATCCACACCACACTCACTGATGAACGATGCCATCAGAGAAGTAGGGCTGGAAGGGACCCCCAGAGATCACCTAGTCCAACCCACTGCCTGAGACAAGATCATCTCTAGCCAAACTATCCCATATAACCGTCATCTAAACAAGTGGTTATCAACGTTTTTTGTGCCAGGACCCATTTGTAAACACAGATGGTCAGTCCAACCCAGTGCCCTTTGCTTCTGACCTACTGCCCCCCCAGGCCTCAGCCACCCAGTGTGTGGGGCAGCCCCTTGCAGACTGGGACTCTGCGAGCCTGCAAGGGAAAATTCAGGTTTCCCCCATTTTTCTCCTTTTAAGGAGAATCCGTTTTAAAAAGTTCGTTGTCCCATGTTTAATCTTTGTTTGCTTGCATATATTCTTGCCACCCACTTTTGGGTCACGACCCACGGGTGGAGAAACACTGATCTAGACTCTGCATGAGACTACCCTCAACCCTGACCCAACTGGTTTGAACTCATCCGCTGCTGGGATGGGTGGGCGGACCCAAACAGCCGGCACATTTCGCCTGTGTCCATCCTCCTGTGGGCTTTCACCGACTTGCTGCAGGCTGGGCTAAACACAGCCAGGTGGACCGGCGGCCAGCAGAGAAGAAAGCCCTTGAGCTGAATAGGTTTCCGGAGGGGTGGGAAAAGCAGTAGCTGTTTTACTAACTCGCAAGGGAAAAAGAAGGGGAATTCTGTGCAGCGCCGAGCACCACCTCCCAGTCCCCACAACAGCTTGGGATGCTGTTGAATGCAAGCGGGGGAGCTAGGAAGGGGCTGTGAAGGCAACGATTGCTCCGGGCAGCCGTGTGTGTGGCTGGCCCCGGCAGGGGCAGAGCTGGCCCGTGGCACCCCGCAGCCACGTGGCCGGCTAGGACTCAGGCAGCCCTCGCTGGCGGATCAATCCCATGCAGCTCCGTGGAGCTGGCACCTCTGCGCTGTCCCCGTGCCTTCCCAGCGGGCCCAGCACGAGGGGGTGCAGGGCGCCGGGGGCCTTTCTTCCCCAGTCTCGGTGGGAACTGGAGCGGATTGAGAAGGAGGAGATGCTCTTCCTGGGGCCACAACGCTGGCGAAGTGGCATCGACTCCCCGCGAGGAATGCACGATTAGGGCTTCCACCAGGAGACGTGGGGATCGTCCTTGTTCATCTCCCCAGCCCTGCTCCCAGCAGTCACAAGCGGGGGCAAGGAGGGGAAGGCAGGAATGAGCATCTAGCCTCAGGGAAGGGCAGCAGCCACCGGCCCGCCGAAGTCCCAGAGACCCGCTGAGAGATCCCTGCCCCACTGCAGGGCCCCCGACCCTTAGGGCCCCACGGACGGCATCCAAGTGCCCTGCTGTCCCTGCTGCCCCCGCTCCTTGCACTTGGTGCAGGGAAAGGAGGAGCCGGCCTCAAGCTTCCCCTCCACCCCAGCCCACGCCCCCAGCCCTCCCCGTCCACCTGCGTTTAACAGGCCTGAGATCAGGGCCGGGTGGGAGAGATCTGGAGGGCAAAGCCGAAAGCCCGGCTCCCTCGGGCAGCGCCGAGCCCTTCAGCACCGCCGCGCCGGACAGGGGCAAGCGCCCTGCGCACCGCTTGCCCTTTGGGGCCCAGGGCCAGCATGGCCAAAGCCCTGACCGAGCCCTTCAAGGACCCGG